TAGATAGCAAGTGGGAAGCAGCCGCATAGCACAGGGAGATCAGCTCCGTGCTTTCTGACCACCTAGAGGGGTGGGATAGGGAGGGTGGGAGGGAGACGCAAGAGTGAGGAGATGTAGGGATATATGTATATGTATAGCTGATTCACTTTGTTATAAAGCAGAAACTAACACACCACTGTAAAGTAATTATACTCCAATAAAAATGTTAAATAAATAAATAAATAAATAACAATCAGTGGGGGCTTCCCTGGTGGTGCAGTGGTTAAGAATCTGCCTGCGAATGCAGGGGACATGGGTTCGAGCCCTGGTCCAGGAAAAGCCCACATGCCATGGAGCAACTAAGCCCATGTGCCACAGCTACTGAGCCTGTGCTCTAGAGCCCACAAGCCACAACTGCTGAGCCCACGTGCCACAACTACTGAAGCACGAGCACCTAGAGCCCATGCTCCGCAACAAGAGAAGCCACTGCAGTGAGAAGCCTGCGCACCACAATGAAGAGTAGCCCCCACTTGCCGCAACTAGAGAAAGCCCATGCACAGAAACAAAGACCCAATGCAGCCAAAAATAAATAAATAAATTTATTTTAAAAAAAGAAAAAAAAGGGCTTCCCTGGTGGCGTGGTGGTTGAGAGTCCACCTGCCGATGCAGGGGACACAGGTTCGCGCCCCGGTCCAGGAAGATCCCATATGCCGTGAAGCGGCCAGGCCCGTAAGCCATGGCCGCTGAGCCTGCACTCCGCAACAGGAGAGGCCACAACAGTGAGAGGCCCGCGTACCGCAAAAAAAAAAGAAAAACAACAATCAGTGGCAATGGTTTAACACTGCAGTGATGTAAGACAGCAATACTAGTTGAGGCAAACAAGAGGCTGGCCAAAAAACTGAAAAGGAAAATCTGGGTATGTTATGTCCATAGTGGACTTTGGAAAGTCCCAAAATATTCCTAGAAGGCCACACACATATATAAATCTGTAGGCATGCCCAGGAAGGATCTGAGAAAGACCTAAACTCTCTCCTCTAACTAACATCAAGGCTCTGTGCAAGTAGGAACTAAAGACTTAAGGAGAATTGTAAACTGATGGCCAATGTATTGAAGGTGTGTGCAAGACAGAGCCTCTCAGCAAAGAGTGGTAGACTTTTTGTTCAAAGCATTCAAGAAAATCTCTGTCCAATCGATAACTGACCTCTAAGTTAATACAGCAGAGATTCCAGTGGCCACACATGCAAAGAATACAGACTACAGAATTAGTCAAGAAAAGTCACTAAACAAACAAATAGTAATAACAAAAAACCAACAAGCCCTGCTGAGAGAGGAGAACCTGATTTCTAGGTTGCCACATTATTATATCTGAATTGTCCAGTTAAAAAAAGACACATGAACACAACCAGGGAAGTATGGCTCACAAAGGAAAAAGAGCAGTCAACAAAACCTATCCCTGAAGAAGACCAAATGTTGAACTTACTAGCCAAAGACATTAAATCAGCTATTATAAATATTTTCTAATAACTAAAGGAAGCTATACCCAAAGAATTAAAAGTATGAGAACAATGTTTCATCAAATAGATAATATAAATAAAGAGATAAAAGTTACAAAAAATAACTAAGTAGAAATTTTGGATTTGAAAAGTACAATAACTGAAATCAAAAATTCACTAGAGGGGCTCAACAGATTTGACCTGGTAGAAGTGAGAATCAGTAACTTGAGGAGAGATCAATTGTGATTACTCAGTCTGAGAAATATAAAGAAAAATAATAAAGAAAAAGGAACAGAGCCTCAGAGACCTGTGGGATACTATCAAATATACCAACATATGCATAATGGGAACCCTGGAAGAAAACAAGGGAGAAAGGGACAAGTAGAATATATGAACAAATAATGCCCAAGAACATATCAAATTTGATGACAAAAATTAATCTACACATCCAAGATCAATGAACTCCAAGGAGAATAAATGTAAAAGATCTATACCTAGATACATTATAGTCAACCTATTGAACACTCAAGACTAAAACAGAATCTTGAAAGCATCAAGAGAAAATTGACTCATCATAACAAGAGATCAAAATTAAGATTAAATGCTGACTCCTCATCAGATACCATGGAGGTCAGAAGGCAGTGGGATAACATATTTAAAGTGCTGAAACCAAAAGAATGTCAACCAAGAATTTTATCTCCTGTAAAACATCCTTCAAAAATGAGAAAGAAAATAAGATATTACCAGGTATTTTTTAAACTGAAAGAATTTTTGGCTAGCATACATTCTCTGAAAAAAATACTAAAGTACTTCGGGCTCAAATGAAAGAATTGTAGACAGAAACTCAAAACCATATGAAGAAATTAAAAGCACTGGTAAAAGTAACCATACAAGTATATGTGAAAACAGTATAAACGTATTTTTGTTTTTAACATTTTTCTTCTAGTTGATTTAGAAGATAACTACGTAAGCAAGAATTATAAAAATATGTTATATAACATATAACAATATAATTTGCATAGATAATCATAGCAGAAAGGAGTGGGTAAGGAGAAGAGCAAGAGTGGATACTAAGTTTTGTATACTATTAAAATTAAATTGGTAGTTTTTTATTGAGCTGACATTGATTTATAACATTATATAAGTTTCATGTGTACAATACTGTAATTTGACTTCTGTATACACTACAGTGTGCTCACCAGGAAACGTTTAGTTTTTACCTGTAACCATACAGTTGACCCCTTTCATACATTTTGCCCTTCCCCAATCCCCCTTCCCCTCCAGTAACCACTAATCTGCCTTCTGTATCCATGTGTTTGTTTCTGTTGTTTTTGTTGTTGCTCATTTTCTTCCCCACATATGAGTGAAATCATGATATTTGTCTTTCTTTGTCTGACTTATTTCACTTAGCAAAATACCCTCCAGGTCTATCTGGGTTGTCACAAAAGGCAAGATTTCATCTTTTCTATGGCTAAGTAGTATTCTGTCTTCTGGTGTGTGTGTGTGTATGTGTATGTGTGTATAACATCTCTTTATCCATTCTTCCATCAATGGGCACTTAGGTTATTTCCATATCTTGGGTATTGTAAATAATGCTGCAATGAACATGTGGTGCATATATCTTTTTGAATTAGCATTTCCATATTCAACCAGATAGATACCCAGAAGTGGAATAGCTGGATCATATGGTAGGTCTATTCTTAATTTTTTGAGGAATTTCTATACTGTTTTCCATAGTGGCTGCATCAATTTACATTACCACCAAGAGCGTACAGGGTTCCCTTTTCACCACATCCTCTCCAACATAAAGTTGGTATTAATTTGAACCAGATTCTTTTAAGTTAACATGTTCATTGTAATCCCCAGGAAAAGCACTAAAAAATAATGAAGAATATATAGTAAAAGAAAAAGGAAAGGAATTAAAATGATACACTAGAAAATACTTATTCAACCAACAGAAGAAGGTATTAATGTAGGAACAGAGGGTAAAAAACACATAAAGCAAATAGAAAACGATAACAAAATGGCAGATGTAAATCCTACATTATTGATAATTACATTAAATGTAAATGGATTAAACATCCAATTAAAAGGCCAAAATTAAATATATATGTATGTTTGTGTGTCTGTATATACATACACACTATCTACCAGAGACCCACTTTAGATTCAAACACACATATAGATTAAAGTTAAAGGACAGAAAAAGACAATTAAAGGGAAATTTGCAGCTGTAAATGTATATATTAAAAAAGAAATATTGAAAATAACCTAACTTCTACTTCTAGCTTCTTTCTAATCAATAAATTAGAAAAAGGAAAGAGAACTAAAGCAAACAAAAGAAAGTAAATAATAAAGACTAGAGCAGACATAAATAAAATAGGGAATAGAAAAATAATAGAGAAAATCAACAAAACCAAGGGTGGATTCTTTGAAAAGATCAACAGAATTGACAAACTTTTAGCTAGACTGACAAGAGAAAAGAGAGAGGGCCCAAATTACTAAAGTCAGAAATGAAAGAAGGACATTATTATCAACCTTACAAAAATAATTTTTAAAAGATTATAAGAGAATACTATAACTGTATGCCAACAAATTGGATAACTTAGAGGAAATTGACAATTTCTTAGTAAAACACAAAGTACAAGAACTGACTGAAGAAGAAACAGAAAATCTGAATAGATCTAAAATAATAAAGGAAACTGAATTAAGAATCAAAAAGCTACCCACAAAGAAAAGCCCATGCCCACATGGCTTCACTGGTGAATTCTACCAAACATGTGAAGAATTTATGTCAGTTCTTCTCAAGTTCTTCCAAAATATAGAAGAGAAGGGATCACTTTATAACTCATTTGATAAGGCCAGCATTACTCTGATACTAAAGCTAGACAAAGACATCATGGGAAAGAAAACTACAGAACAATATCCCTTATGAATATAGACAGAAAAATTCCTCAATAAAATACTAGTAAAATGGGAACTTCTCTGGAAGTCCAGTGGTTAAGAATCTGCCTTCCAATGCAGGAAACAGGTTCAATCCCTGGTCAGGGACCTAAGATCCCACATGCTGCAGGGCAACTAAGCCCACACACCACAACTACTGAGCCTCGCACTTTAGAGCCCACGCGCCACAACTAGAAAGAAGCCCACGAGCCGCAAGAAGAGTCCTCGCACCACAACGAAGATCCTATGTGCCACAACTAAGACCTGATGCAGCCAAATAAATAAATTAATTAATTAAAAAAATTTAAGCTAATATGGCAATATACTAAGAGGATTTTACACATTACCAGGTGCTATTTTTACCAGGAACGAAAGAGTGCTTCAATATGTAAAAATCAGTCAATGTAATGCATCACATCAGTAGAACGAAGGAAAAGGCACATGATCATCTAAATTAATGACAAAAAATCATTTAACAAATCCAACATTTTCATGATAAAAACATTCAACGTCTAGGAGTAGAAGGAAACTTCCTTAATCTGACTGATGGCATTTATGAAAATTCACAGCTAACATCGTACTCACTGGTAAAAGAGTGAAGGCTTTCCTCTTAAGATCAGGAACAAGACAAGGATGTCCACTGTTTCCACTTCGATTCATCATCACACTGGAGGTCCAGAGCAATTAGATAAGAAAGAGAAATAAAAGGAATCTAGCTCAGTATGTAGGAAGAAAAAATATCTCTATTCTCATGTAACATGATCTTGTATATAGGAAATACTAAGGAATCCACATACACACATGCACACACAAATGGTTAAAACTAAGAAACAACCTCAGCAGGGTTGCAGGATACAAGATCAATATACAAAAATCAATTGTAGTTCTAAACATTATCAATGAACACTCCAAAAATGAAATTAAGAAAACAATTTCATTTATAATAGTAACAAAAAGAGAAAAATACTTAGGAATAAATTTGCAAAAGAAGTGCAGGACTTGTACACAGAAAATTGCAAAAAAAAAATTGTTGAAAAATAAATGACCTAATGAAAGGTATTCCTTACTCATAGATCAGAAGACTATCATTAAGATGACAGTATTCCCTAAAATGATACACAGATTTAACACAATCCCTATCAAATTCCCATCAGGCTTTTTTTTTTTTTTCAGAAATTACCAAACTGATCCAGCAATTCAATGTAAATGCTAGAGACCCAGAACAGCCAAAACAATCTTGAAAAAGATAAACAAAGTTGGAGGACTCGTATTTCCCAATTTCAAAACTTACTAAAAAGCAACAGTACTCAAGACAGCCCTCACATTATGGCAGTTGGGAGGTACTACTGTAACAGCTTACTCTTTGCCTATCTGTACTAAAATAAAGACTACTAGGAGAAAGAAACAATCACAGAGTTCCCAGGCAGCTGTATTTTCCTCCCCTTAAATACATATCAACAGCTGACTACCAGAATGCGAGGAATAGCTGCAGCAGGAAGGAAGGATCAAGTTTAAAAAAAACAAACAGAAAAGAGAACTAGATATTATGTACCTTCTGGCAGACACCATCTATGACATATTCTGGCCAAAAAAAATTGAATATGATATAATCAAGCCTCTCATCTCACTCCAATTCACAAAAAAATACTGCAGTTTGTTACATAGGGTTGCAATCAATAAGGTCAAAACTGTGGGAAGCTCTTTACCATCTTCTTTTTTTTTTTTTTTTTTTTTTTGCGGTACGCGGGTCCCTCACTGTTTTGGCCTCTCCCGTTGCGGAGCACAGGCTCCGGAGCGCAGGCTCAGCGGCCACGGCTCACAGGCCTAGCTTCTCCACGGCATGTGGGATCTTCCCCGACCAGGGCACGAACCCGTGTCCCCTGCATCGGCAGGCAGACTCTCAACCACTGTGCCACCAGGGAAGCCCTCTTTACCATCTTCTTAAAATAATAAATTACATAGCGAGTAAAGAGAGAGAGACCCACACAGAGATGGTGGGATGTGACATTTATAGCTTAAATAAGACTTAAGAGACATATAATTAATTGCAGTATATGGACTTTACTTAAATCCTGATTGAAAAAACTTGTAAAAACACAAACAAAAGAAAGGACAGATCAGGGAAATGTTTAACACACACTGGATATTTGGAGGATATTAAGGAATTTTTATTAGTGTGGTTGATAAATTTTAAATTCCTTACCTTTTAAAGAAACAATGAATTATTTAAGGATAAAATGATATAATGCTTTTCATTTTCTTCAAAATAACTCAGTTGGGGGGATAATGAAGGGTTCAAATGAAACAAGATTGGCAGTAAATTGATCATTGTCAAGATTGGGTGAAGAGTACATGAATACGTGTAAGTTCATTATACTATTTTCTCTACTTATATGTTTGAAATTTTTCATAATAAAAAGTTTAAATTAACTATTTAATTTTAAAAGACTACCAGAAAAAACGGGGGGGAGTATCAGGATACATACCCTCTATTAGGCATATTGTGGTGAAATTTCATCTCCCAGAATACAGGGAAAATTCTTAAATCTTCCAGAGAAAAGAAAAATAATTTACCTATAAATAAACAAGAATCAGATTGGCATCAGGCTTTTCATTAACAATAATAGATGTTTGAAGATGATGGAGTGAGACTGTCAAAGTTTTGAAGGAAAATTCTTTCCAACTTAGAATTTTCTACTCTGACAAAATATCTATCAAGTATGAGAATAAAGTTTGTAAGAACTCAGAAAGTTTAATTCTCATTCACACTTTCTGAGGATGTTGCTTGAGGACACTTGGAGCAAACTGAGAATGAAAACCAAGAAAGATACAGCTGTGATTTCAAGAAGAATGCGGCAGAAAGAGGTAGATGTGTCTTCAAGAAGAAAGATGTAATAAATTCCAAGCAATAGGAAGAATTGGTAGGAATATTATAGAAAAGGCATATGTTCTTCTGCTAACAAGAGAAGCATAAACAAAAATTACAAGAGACAAAAATAACTGTATGAAGTATGAAAACTGTTCATCCTCACAAGTAAATAAAAAATACACATTTAAATAACAAGATACCATTTTTTTAACCTATCAGATTATCACAAAAATGTTTGGAATTATATTACCCAGTGAGGTTAAGATTGGGTGAAATAAACAACTTGTCTATTTTTGGTGTGATAGGTAGAATAATGGCTCCCAAAGATGTCTATGCCCTAATCCCAGGAACTCATGAATATATTACCTTACACAGCAACAGCAATTTTGCAGATGTGATTAAGAGCACAAACCTTGAGATGGGGAGATTATCCTTCATTATCCAAGTGGACCCAATCTAATCACATGAGCCCTTAAAAATGGAGAGCTTTTCCTGGCTGGATCAGAGAGATGAGACAATGGAATGCAGAAAAGTCAGCTGGAAGATGGCAGGATGAGAAGGATTCAATACCCATTGCTGCTTCTGAGAAGTAGGGGCCATGTACGCAGCAGAGAAAGGCCCCTAGGAGCTAAGGGCAGCTGCCAGCTGCCAGCAGCAAGGAAACGGGGACCTCAGACCAAACCCATGGAATTGAATTCTGCCACCTGATTGAGCAAGGAAATAGATTCTGCCCTAGAGCCAACAGAAAGGAATGAAGTCCCAATAACAACCTGATTTTAGGCCAGTGAGAGCCATACCAGACATCTAACCTGCAGAAATATAATAAAGGTATATAGTTTAAACCACTAAGTTTGTGGTAATTTCTTACAGTAACGGTAGAAAATTAACATAGTTGGTAAAAGTATAGATTGGCAAAATCCTGTAGGAAAGCAATATTAAAATATGTAATCAGAACTTTAAGAGTATTTATATCCTTTAACCAAATAATTCTACTTCTGGGAATACATACACAGGAAATAGTCATAAATATGGAAAACCTCTTATTTAAAAAAAAATATTTGTCACAGCATTATTTATAGTAGCAAAAATCTAGAAGAAAAATATTAATGTTTAACACTAAGGAAAAGGTTAGACCAACAAAGCCATCCAAAGAAACATTATCCAGCAAATAAAAATTAGGTTTATAAATATTAAATAAAAATATGCTGCCATGTCAATTACTTAAAGACTTTTTAAAAGTATCAATACATAGAAAAAATATCTCAGAGAAAAACACAAAAACATTAGTAGCATCTGCATTAGAGAAGAGGTGACTTTAAATACACTTTCCATTTCTCTGCATTTCCCAGTTTCCTTTAATGAGTGTGAATTCCCTTAATCTGCTGTAATAAGGCAGACGAGTGCAAGCATGGATGATGTTAGCACCTCTCCGACGGTGGGTGGGTTTTTACTCATTACATGTAACTTGACCTGGCTTTAAGGGTAGATGAATTAGGCAGCTTTCTCCATAGTATAAATTTAAGAAAAACCAGGAAGGCCTGTGGGCATTTCACACAACAAAGATAGAGCAGGAATGCTTGGCTTGGCAAATCCTAAGGAAATACATTGACTTCTTTCAAAAGCAATTCTATTCAAAAGCAGTAGAGAGAGCAGGGGACATACAGGTAGCTCCAGTATAAATTATAAAAGTATCCTTTTTTCTACTGTACTTTTAATTTTTTTCCTTTTGATAAACTTATTTTGGAATAATTTTAAATTTATAAAAGTTGCAAAGATAGTACACAGATGTCCTATATGACCCTCACACAGTTTCCCCCGTTGTTAACATCTTACATTTCTCAAAAAGTAGAAACTGACACTGGAACATTATTAACTAAACCTCAGATTTATTTGGATTTCACTAGCTTTTCCATTAATACCCTCTTTCTATTCCAGCATCCAATTCATGGTACCACATTGCGTTTAACTGTCATGTCTCTCCGGTCTCCTCTGGTTTGTGAGTTTCTCAATCCTTCCTTATTTTTCATGACTTTGACAGTCTTCAAGAGTACTGCTAAAAAAAAAAAAAAAAAAAGAGTACTGCTAAGTATCCTGTAGAATGCCTGGATTTGTCTGATGTTTTTCTCATGACTATTCTGAGGTTATAAGTTTTTGGAAGAAATAGCACAGAGTTGAAGTTGTCTTGTTGCATATCAGATGGTAGATGACACACACGTGACATCACTGGTGATGTTAACCTTCATCACTTGGTTAAGCCAGGGTTTGCAAGGTTTCTCCACTGTTAAATTAGTAGTGTCCCCTTTCCCTACTCTAATCTTTGGAGATAAATCACTAAATCTAGCCCACTCTCAAGGGGAGGTGGATGATAAGGTTCACCCCCTGGAGAAGGATGTATCTGCATATTTCACCTAGAATTCTTCTCTAAGAAAGATTTGTCTCTTCTCCCCCATTCATTCATTCACTCATTTATATCAGTATGGACTCATGTATTTTTATTTCATACCTTAGTTTATAATCCAACACTTCATTATTTATTTTGTTACTCAAATTATTCCAGCTTTGATCATCAGGAGCTCTTTCAAGTTGACTCCTGCGTTCCTTTGACATGCCCCATCCTTTTGGTTGATTGTGTACTGTCTTCCTGGTACTACAAGATGCTCATTTGTGTTTTCCCTGTCCCAGCCATAGAATCAGCTGTTTCTCCAAGAAGCCCTAAGGAATGGTATTTAGAAACCAAGATCTGACACTGGGTGTGCTTACTGCTACTCAGTCTACCGTAACTTTATAAGTTTCATGTATCTACATCTTCACTTTCTTTATAGCTATAAAAAGGCTCTAATCTTTGTTTCAATTCTGGGACTACTAAAAGATCTTATAGCAATCCTAATGTCTTTGCAGTTTCTACTGAGAAGGTATTTTTAAAATACTTTTCTATTTCTCTATGAGTATAAATAGTCTCAACTTTTCTTCCCAAATGTCATCAATAGCTTATTTCTCTACAGAGGAATTTTATTTGTGCTTTAAGATTTTATTTTTTTCGAAAAGTAGCATACGATATTCTTCATTTGTAATTCTCTACTATTTCCTCTCTGAGTCAAACTGCCCTCACTCATTCCCCTGTATATTTTTTAAAGACAGACTCTTTTTTCCTTTTAAACTACTAAGAGGCAGCAAACAGAAAAGATTTTACTTTGTCTTGTTTAGTTTTCAATAAAGATTTCTTTATAGTCTCCCAACACATATCCCACTCCATCTCCCTGCCCTCCCAAACACAAAAATCTCTGAAACAGCTGTCATTATATCCAAAATTACACAACTAGGAATTTGTTTCTCTGACTTAAAGTTCTAATTCTAAAATATAAACATAATACTTCCTAACTAAATATGGTGGGTTGATCATGTGGGACAGGAAGCAATAGTGAACAAGGATTTCAACAAATTTTAGGAAGATAAATTAGGATTTGTTAACACACATAGCAGAGCTGAAGTATCATAAAGCTTAAGTGTCTCCACAGGGAAATGTGGATGAAAAGTGGGCCACATTGTCGCCAGAGAGCACTGGAAAAGCTTAGGTCTGAGAAGCCCCATGTAGCCAAGCAGGCAGAGATGAGGCACAGGGCTCACAGGAGAGTGAGACTCTCCTCCACAACCCAAGCAGTCAGGATCTCCAATTTGTGCCCACTCTGCCAGGGGAGAACCAACGTTCATTCTCAGGGAAATTTAATCAGATAGGCTCTGGGCTCAGGAGCATCAGGAACAGCACAGGGCAGCAGAAAGCACAGATTTGAAACCAGAGTGAGCTTGGTGAAGTTGTTTGCACAGCCTGAACCAACCAAGCCGCCAGCTAAAACCCAGCGAGACCCTGCAGTCAAACTCACAAGGACACAAGCCTTGCTGTGCACGTGGAGTTTCCCTTTTTTTTTAAGAGCTACTCTTAAATATGTTTATAAATAAAACAAATACAATTACTGTATATAAATAAATGTTAGAGGAAAACTTCTAACATGAAATACACTAAAATAAACCAAAAAAGAAGGGTATTTGGTGAAAATATACCTAATGCAGAAAACAGAGGTAACACAGACAAAACTTAGAACCTTCAAGATAAAGGTTTGTTTTTATGGAAGAAAGTGGAGGGATGACACTATACATAAAATAAGAATAAGATGTTATGTATTTTTTTAAAAAACATAATTGATTATGGAAGAGCTCCTAGAAATTAAATAAATATGATAGACAAGATAAAAAATTCAGGAAAAAGGGGGTTAGGGACTAAATACAAGGAAATCCCCCATAAAGTAGAACAAAAAGAAAAGAAAAATAGATTGGAAAATATGAGAAATTAGAGAATAAATTCTGCAGGTCCAATATCTCACTGGAGTTTCACAACAGGAAGAGCAAGGAGATTAAAGGGGAGGAGATTACCAAAGAAATAACACAAAAGATCCCCAGAATTGAAAGACATGAATCTCAAGTTTGAAAGCATCCTCAAGAAGTCAGCAAAATCAATAACAGGAATTTTATCATGAAATCAGAACAACAGAGATAAAAGATTCTCAAAGCTTATAGAGAGAAAACAATACACACAGAGATCTATGCTGAGAATCAGTATTGCATCAGATTTCTCAGCAGCAGTACTGGAAGCTAGAAGGCAATGAATCAATGCCTCCCAAATCTGAAGGAAAAACTTTTTTAACCTAAAAAATTGTACCCAACCAAACTATCTATCAAGTATGGCAGTAAAGAAAAATATTTTACAGTATGCAAGGAT